TAGCACAGCGAAATTTCTTTTCTCACAGAGGATTTATTACTTTTGCGCACTAATGAATTCAACTGGATTTTTCACCGTCATTTTCACACACTGAGCGACGCTAACCGTTCAGGGGCTAAAAATAATAATTTATATAGAAAGGAAGTTTGCGCAACCAAAACATATTCGGTACGTGGAATGAAAAATTCACAGAACGTGTTCAAATGATAATAGATTAGTTGGAAGGTGCCGAGCTTGCGCTAAGCACGCGTCATGCGCTAGCGCGTGTGCTGGCCCTCTCCGCCCTGATCGCCTGAACGCACTATCCGCTGTGTCCGAGACTGCTCAAAGTACAAAGGGCCTACGAGGAAGATGTCTTCTGCGAGATCGTGTGATTGCGGCCATTGACCTTGACTTCCATATCTCCTCATTCCAGTTGAAGCATGACGAACCCGAGAGTGGCGCAGAAAATCTGGGCTAGATGCCAGAAGATTGCGCAGTCAAATCGCTGTCCAAGTTTAGGAATAAAAAGTGCTCCATGTTGAGTTTATACTACTGCTTTATACATATCACGTACTAATTTCATATGCGAATAGCTTGATTTGGTCTATATGTCAAAACAGTTCTTATCCAGCAAATATTGTCCGATTCTCGAAAGGAACAAAAGAATTCTGATTGATCAGAAGGTTGCTTGTCGAAGTCACTCCTTCTAAAATGAAGGACGAAACATTGATTTGGCTCAACTTCAAATTGAGTTCTCGAATGTGCGTGTTCCTTGCACATATTCGTGTTTTGGCAGCAACATGCCACAATGATGTGAGTCATTGCAAATCTTACGCTATATAACCATGATGAATTCCACAATGCAATTCTGTGACGCTCGTTTGGTCTAGCGTGAGGTTGACAGCTTCGTTTGAAACACATCATTCAGCAAATAGAACGAAAGAATAACAAAGCCAGCAGTTACAACTTCTTGTAGTCTATGCTCTCTTCCAATTCGAAACGAAAACAAAAGCGGAAGCAGATGGCCTAAAGTCAAACACGTTCCTCTTTTTTGTTTCTTTTGTGATTCTTCAGACTCCTCAAAGTCTTCCGTATTAGGCAGAACCAGAGTGAGCATAGAGTTTGAGTATTAATGGGTTGTCAATTCCTTACCGACATTCGACACTTTCTTCTTTTCACAAAGCAGATCACGAATGCGCCCACTATCATGTCACTGATGTGCCTCAACTTGCCCGGGAGTCAAGCTAGGATTGTACAGGGTGGGCAAAAATTACGGTAACAAGAGCGCTAACAAAACATCTCGATTTCCTTCGAACCTAATAAATGCATCTGGTTGAAGAGACCCCGGAGAGAAATCACTGGACACAACAGCAAGATAGACCGCTTGTACACAAAGCAAATATTGTGCAACATTGGTTTTGCAGAACTTTCCGAATTCATGACATTAAACGAGTGGCAACCTTATTCTCCCATTTAAAGCAAGTGGGTTATTTTCCGTGGAGTCTACTGAAGACGATGGGCCACTAAAGCATCGACGAATTAAAGAAGATCCTAGGGTAAGCTCGATGTCACCTACCTACACAACAGGCCGATGCGTTCCCGAGATGACTTCACTCAGGTATAAACGCAGAACAGCGGCCAGTCCAAGAAGTGATGTTGTATTCTGTTTGGTAACTTCCTATGAATACATTGTTGGTGTCCACGTGTGTCTTCCTGGCCGCATTGCTTTTCCATGAACACTTTATCTTGTTACCGTAATTTTTGCCCATCCTGTAGCTTCTGTTGGGGCCGTTCTTGAAGTGTTTGTACTCTTTGTCTTTTCCTCTTGTAGCTGCAGCTTTAAGGCGCTATGAAAGGGATAGTTTGGTGGGCTAATGTTGGTATAATGGATATGGTAT